GACAAAATGATTAATATTGAATAATATATATGATTAGGCTACATATAATGTACGCATATATTTCATTGTGTCTGCATAAAAATAATAATAGTAGAATAGTAGTATAATAGTAGAATAAATGATGACAAAATGATTAATATTGAATAATATATATGATTAGGCTTTTTATAATTATATGCCCATTTAAACTATACACAATGAATAAAGTTTGTCAGCGGGTGGTTTGGTGGTCTCATTGCAGTGAAGCCATCTCTTCCCACCTCTTCCTCATCTTTTTTTGGGAAACCTTCAAAACAAAAACAAGAGATTTTGTTGTGTCTACACACAACTATTGTACAAGGAGGTCAATCTTATTTTCTTCATTGTACTTCCTATGTTGTCCCAATTTTACTTTTTTCCATTTTCAAATTTCTAAAAAACTTACTTCAACAAAACTCTTTTGCTGCTGCATAATATCTGTTGATAATGAACCAAAACTGCTAGTGAGCAAGCTTGTTTGAAAGTTATTCCAGTCAGATGTTCTGTATTTTGTGGTGAAGATGACACATCAGGTTTAGGGTGAAAGAGTTAGCTACATGTTAAACAGTCTGTGCCATCTGTGTAAAATTCCCTGGTGAATGCTATATCAGCAATATTTGTTTAATTTATACTGTTGCTGTTTTGTGTCAGTTAATCTAAATCAGTGTAAAAGAATAACTAACACTTTATATGATTTATAAAGTCTCACTTAGCTTTCATAGCCGGATGGATGAACTTCGGTATAAAAACATAGCTAACATTAGCTGTCATTTCAATAGTGAACATAAAAAAGTACAGTAATATTTTACTCACAAAAATACAAAGAGTAATTAGTTCATCTTGCGTGTAATTTCTCTTGCTGAAAGCATTGTTTAAAAATTATATATCGATGTATATATAATTAGACATGATTTTATTTTAAATTCTCACTTTGAGATCCTGGAAAGTAATGTTTGCAGGAGAAAAAAGAAACAATGTCGAAGAACACAAAGTGTGTCCAAATCTGTCAAGTTGTGTGGTCTGTACTTTGTAAAATGAAATAAACTGAATATGTAAGAAAAAAAAAGAATAGCAGGCCTTAAAACACTACAGCAGAGGGACAAAGACTGTGACAGACACTGTAGGGAAAATGAAAAAGCTCAAGTGGAATAAAGATATTCAGAAAGAAAAWGTTTTTGTTTTAGAATAAACTTTTTTTTCAAGTGAGTTAAATAACTGAACCTTTTTTGTAATTATTTTGTAATTGTTTTTTATATTGTGTTTTGTGACTAGTCAATTTTCTAAAGCAGTGGTTCCCAAACTTTTCAGCTTTTGACCCACAAAATAACAGTAG